AATATAAAGTCCGCCGACAACCTGTATTATATGTAATAACTCTCCACATGCCCCTGTGCCAAAAATAGTGCCAAGCAACTTTTATAACAATAAATAATTTTTAAAAAAATAGGGCAGGACACTTTGAGAGGGGCGAGAGAGGCCCTAAGGCATTATAGTATAAAATTTTATTGCAAAAGCTCAAAAGCTTTTTCAGATATCGCCCGTTTTTTACAAGAAAGTGTTACATACAGACGGAATGTATGAATTTACGACCCTGAACTTTGACCCTTTGACCTCAAAATCAATAGGGGTCTTCCTTAGGCCATAGGGAGCTGTTACGTAAAATTTCATTGCAAAAGCTCAAAGGATTCTCCAGATATCGCACGGAAGGGAAAGTGTTAAAACAGACAGAATTTATGACCTTGACCTTTGACCTTTTGACCTCAAAATCAATAGGGTTCTTCTTTTGATCATGGGGAGTTGCTGTGCAAAATTTCATTGTGAAAGCTGAAAGGGTTCTTGAGATATCGCATGGAAATGAAAGTGTTACAGACAGAAATACAGACGGACGGACAGACAGACCCAAATTAATATCCCCCACTTTCAGTGAAAGCGGGGGACAAAAATAGGGAGAAGTACCTGACAATAACAAAGCGCAAACCATTATTTGTTTTATTTATTTCAACTTAAATGTTTTATTTATCTTTTTGTTATACTTGTACATGTACTGTTTTCGGTAGTTAATGGGCTAGTGACTGGCAACCTCAGGCTATTAACTTTGTTACTGCCACTAGCCCTAGTAACTTATTTTTGTAATTGCACACCACTGCCAAGAGACTCAATTCCAAAACAGTGCATTTCAGGAAATATAATCATAAAAGTTGGTTCATTTTAGACCATAAAAAATTAATCTCAAGTTTCTCAGCAAGCCAAAAATTTTAAAATTTAATGCAGCAGGCAGGTCTTTCATTTATTTTCTAATACCAGTAATTCATTCATTCATTAATTTTTTGAAGCAGATTTTAACTTTCTTGTAGTCAAAAACATATTAGGTAATCAGAGATTACAGAGCTCACCTCAAAAAAATGTCTTTAAGTAAAGCAAAGTCCCACATTAAACTAATAATCTAGTAGTGTGCATCCTTAGATGCATTATAAAGTCATGCAAGTTTGGTTTAGGTAGGTCATTAAATTACTTGAATAGGGACCTGCTCTAAACTAGATGTGTCATTTGAATGCCCCCGCAAGCAGCCAAAATTCAAATGCAATATTTAGTTTTAAATTTGTATTCAAACTCTATCAAAATTCATCAGACCATGACCAAATTCAAACTTGACCTGTATTTTCTGGTAAAATACCTGAATATGCAATTTCAACCTTACGGTACATACATCCCTACAAATATTAGAGAGTGGAAATTGAAAATTTCTTATTTTTTCCTAAGTTCAAAAGGGATAACTCTGTCAAAAATCATCGGACCATGACCAAATTCAAACTTGACCTGCGTATTCCTAAGACATATCGATATGTCAAATTTGAGTTGAATGTGTGCAACTGTTGCAAAGATAATGTATGGAAAGTGCATGATGAATGAATGATGGAACAGGGTAACACTATATGCCCCAGCCATTTTATGGAGGGGGCATAAAAAATATTCTGGTCATTCCCCAGGAAAATGTAGGTCAGATCCAGCATCTGAAGCATGTCTGGTAGTGTCCATCCCTAGATGCATCATCCATGCAAGTCAAGTCAATATAGGGCTTATACTTACTTGGAAATGAGACCAGTGATCAAAAATTTAACCTGGTCACTCATCCAGAAAATGTAGGTCAGATATAACATCCGAAGCAATACTGGTAGTGTACATGTATCATCCATACAAGTTTTTGTTAATATAGAATTTATAGTTACTTGGAAATGAAAAAATAGAAAATTGAGTTAATTCCCTTTCAATATGTTAAAAATATTGATCAATGCAACAGGGTTTTTTTTTTCATTTCCACATATCCTTGCACTTACACGAAGTAAACTTAATCCATAATACTTAAAGAAGAGTAGAAATTCTGTTTTGTATTAATGAAAAATATTGAAACTATAATCCAGAAAATTTAGAGCAGAATTAAATGTGAGAAAGCAAAACCATGCAACTAACCAGAATTGTCAGTCTGTGCTTAGTAATGTGAGCAGAGTTAACAAATTGAACACATCTGGTAAAATTTAAACATTAATAATAATGAATTTTGTCCATTTTTCAATTTAACATTCCAAATTGAAGTGGTATAAGACCTAGTACCTAAATGGGTCGATTAAACCCTGGAAACAATGGTGGATGACCATAAAAGAAGAAAAACAATCCAAATTCGGGGTTCAAAACAGGAAATAGATAGTTTTCATGACGTATTTTCTCTCCCAGTTATTTCCCTTGGCCGCCATCTTGGTGGTCAACCTGGTAATTTTTTCTCTTTCATAGGCGTCGGAAGCAAATTGAAATGGGGGGGCTAATTGAAAGTGGGGGGGCTAAACCAACGAAAACAAGAGGCCAATGGGCCACAACGCTCACCTGAGCACATTGGCTAGGCAAAAGCACAAGTCAGTTCAGTATTGAAAAAGATTACCAATGGGGGGTGGGGGGGGTAGTTGGGGGGGGGGGCTTGAATTTTAAACTACCTAATGATGCTTCCATGTCAATATAACAATTGGCTTTGTTGTACTTGAGAAGATTTAAAAAAAAATTTCCCATATATTCCTCCGTATCCAAGGGGTCATCATTTGAACAAACTTGAATTTACACTACCTGAGAAGATTTATATCAGTATGACTAAACATAGCTTTTCTGTTCTTGAGAAGAAATATTTTTTCTACATGTTCTTATGTAAAACTTTCAACCCCCCATTGGGCCCCACCCTACCCCTGGGGGTCATCATTTGAACAAAATTGAATTTACACTACCTGTAGATGCTTTCTTATCAAAATGACTAAACATGATTTTCAGTTCTTGAGAAGAAGATATTTTCCTATATGTTACTATGTAAAATTTTCGATCCCCCATTGTGGCCCGACCCTATCCCCGGGGGTCATCATTTTAACAAACTTGAATCTACACTACCTGAGGATGCTTCCATATCAAAATGACTAATCATGGCTTTGCAGTTCTTCAGAAGTAGATATTTTCCTATATATTTCTATTTAAGAGTTTGATCCTCTATTGTGGCCCCGCCCTACCCCCGGGGTTCATGATTTGAACAACTTGAATCTACACTAACTGAGGATGCTTCCATATAAATATGACTCATCATGACTTTGCTGTTCTTGAGAAGAAGATTTTTAAAGATTTTTCCTATATATTTCTATGTAAAACTTTGATCCTCCATTGTGGCCCCGCCCTACCCTCGGGGGTCATGAATTGAACAACTTGAATCTACACTAACCGAGGATGCTTCCATATAAATATGACTCATTATGGCTTTGCTGTTCTTGAGAAGAAGACTTTTAAAGATTTTTCCTATACATGTATATTTCTATGTAAAACTTTGATCCTCCATTGTGGCTCCGCCCTAACCCCGGGGGTCATGATTTGAACAAATTTGAATCTACACTAACTGAGGATGCTTCCATATAAATATGACTCATCATGGCTTTGCTGTTCTTGAGAAGAAGATTTTTATAGATTTTTCCTATATATTTCTATGTAAAACTTTGATCCTCCATTGTGGCCCCACCCTACCCTCAGGGGTCATGAATTGAACAACTTGAATCTACACTAACTGAAGATGCTTCCATATAAATATGACTCATTATGGCTTTGCTGTTCTTGAGGAGAAGACTTTTAAAGATTTTTCCTATACATGTATATTTCTATGTAAAACTTTGATCCTCCATTGTGGCTCCGCCCTAACCCCGGGGGTCATGATTTGAACAAATTTGAATCTACATTAACTGAGGATGCTTCCATATAAATATGACTCATCATGGCTTTGCTGTTCTTGAGAAGAAGATTTTTAAAGATTTTTCCTATATATTTCTATGTAAAACTTTGATCCTCCATTGTGGCCCCGCCCTACCCCCAGGGGTCATGATTTGTACAAACTTGAATCTACACTACCTGAAGATGCTTCCATATAAATTTGACTCATCATGGCTTTGCTGTTCTTGAGAAGAAGATTTTTAAAGATTTTTCCCAATATATTTCTATGTAAAACTTTGATCCTCCATTGTGGCCCCGCCCTACCCCTGGGGGTCATGATTTGAACAAATTTGAATCTACTCTACCTGAGGAAGCTTCCACGTGAGTTTCATTTTTCCTGGCCCTCTGGTTCTTGAGAAGAAGATTTTTAAAAGATGCTATTAATTTTTCACTAATTCTTTATTATCTCCCCTTGAAAGAGGGCGTGGCCCTTCATTTGAACAAACTTGAATCTCCTTCACCCAAGGATACTTTATGGCAAGTTTGGTTGAAATTGGCCCAGTGGTTCTTGAGAAGAAGTCGAAAATGTTAAAAGTTTACAGACAGACAGACGGACAGACAGACAGATGGACGCCGGACAAAAAGTGATCAGAAAAGCTCACTTAAGCCTTCGGCTCAGGTGAGCTAAAAAGTAAGCCCCAATTTTCAATGCCTATATTATGTCTATCTTTGCAAAAAAAGTGGGGGGGGGGGAGGGCTAAGCCCCCCCCCCCCCGGTTCCGACGCCTATGTCTTTGTCTTACCAAATCTAAGAGGGTGTAGCAGAAATATTTTGGGAAAAATCTTTACAGAATGAAAACTATGAAATAAAGGAGGCTTTAACAAATATATATTATTCAGAAAAACAATGCTTCCTACCCAACACTTATGGCCAGTATAAAAAATTAAGTTGATTGAATAATGAAGGAATATGAGCATGTTGACCTCCAATACGGCAGCAAATGGGAAATAATGCTTGCTAATTTAGGCCTAATGAAAACTTTCTATACTCATTACCTTTAAGGTCATCCAGTGATTAAAATTAAATGCTACATTTGCTCTAACTTCAGCATCCATCATCCTTGCTGCAGAACTGAGGGAAACATCTCCAAAAACACCAATTCTTTGTTCCAGGCCTGTTCCATACCAGAGCCTGAAAAAAGAAGGAATATCTGTTGACTTTAAAAGAAATCATACATAAATATAATATACATGACATGAGATCAATGGGTAATGATGCAGCTATGTGTAAGCACCATTTTGACCATAGTCAATATTAATGGGGCTGTGTCAATATATTGATACACATGTATGTATTGTATCGATATTCACAAAAAAATAACATCCAACACGTATTGGGTTAGGCAGTTTTTCTTCTAATTCTATGAAAAAGTTGGTAATTTCAATCACCAAAGAATATATTCAACTGTTTCGTTTAAAACTGATCAGTAATGATATAAACATCAAGGAGACAGCACATAAATAATTATTACAAGATACATTGAAACAATATTTTAACATGCTGGTTTTACAGTCGTTAAAAAGTTTGAATTTGAAGCGTACTTTGTAATGACTGTGAGACAAAAACTTCAAAATAGGTTATAAAACACTGTTTTATAAAATTTATGTATTAAACATGTTACATAATTTTAAAGACTTTTTTTGATAAACTTGTTAAAGAATCCAATCTATCACATATCGCTTTATAAAACATCGTATTGAAAATTATTGCTCAATACGCAGCCCTAGTAGTCAAGGCACTGTAATGTGTAGGAATACTCAGGACAGAGAAATATGGCAATAAAATTTATGAAACTTTTCTATTTTTCTTTGCATATAAAGGGGTCAACTCATTGACCTTGATACACAATCCTAATGTACAAATGTCTACTCAACTTTTCATTATATTTACTTCTTTATAGTCTTTAAGCTTGATAAAGCTGGACAAAAAATTGCAAGTACGTGTATTTTACTATTCACTTAATATGAACTATGTACTATCAAGAAGAGGCCCATGGTCCACATTGATCATCTGAGCACATTTGCCATGAAAAAGCAGAAATCAGTTCAGTATTGAAAAGTTTATAGGATGGGTGGGGGCCGTGGGTGGGGGATTTACACTACCTCAGGATGCTTCCATATCAATATTACTAATAATTATGGCTTTGTTGTTCTTGAGCAGAAGAATTTTTTAAGATTTTTTCCAATGTTTCCTGTGTAAAACTGATTGCTCATTGTGGCTCCACCTAAAGGATGACTGCACTTAAGGACATGTGAAATTTGCAACAAAATTAACTTTCAAAACAAGCATTTTTCTTTTCATTGCAAGAACGGTCAACATCCAATCTACAACTTTATGTAATTAAGTTTAATAAAAGTGTGTATTTACGAAGTTCAAATCTGCTTTCAAAGGCAGGTGTCATCACAATTTCTTGAGTCTTCATTCGATAATGAGGACGCCCACTTTTTTACTGACTTCATACATAGTCAGCACATGTTTGTCTATCAAAATTGTTCTACCTTTAACAGTAGTTGTATATTTGCATAAATAATAATGTGTCAATAATGTGTCAAAAGGAGATTAATAGAAAAAACATGCACTCATGGTTAAAAAAGAGAAAAAACTGCTTCTTCTTACATTTGCTCTCTGTGTTGTAACCAAGGGTTGTGACATGTTGAATATTATAATTCACCACGTGATTTTGTACCTCAGGTAACTTTGAGAATACTAAATTCTGTCACATGACTTGTAAGGTAGCATGTTTTGTGCTAACTAGGACATTGTGTTCGAATATGTTAAGTCATCTGGCATTGATTAGGGGTGAAACGATACACCTCCTTCACGGTTCGATATGTTATTTTGTATAATTTTGTCTTGGTACGGTTATTTTCGATACAATACATTTTAATAGAAGGAAACAAATTCAACTTAATTTTATGCCTATGTTAAATCTAGTCACTTAATTTACGAATTTTTATTTGCAAATTGACTAGAAGAAATTTACTAGAATTAATTGACTGTCAAAAATTATTTAACAAACACTCTTTCATAAAAAATTTACTTTTTGTATACAGTTAAACTTCGTTATCTTGAAGTTGACGGGACCGTTGATGAACTTCGAGATATCCGGGGGTTCGACATATCGAGGGTTATAATTCAAATGAACTTCAAATAAACTTAGTGCAGCGAACATGTACTTAATAGTTAAAACATGTCAAATTCCAAATTCTGTATACAATTTATATATACATGTACATGTATTTAGCAATAAAAAGATTTTTACATCCTCTGTATAATTCACAAAATAAAAACTTTATATAATATGCACAGAAGTATAATCCTTAGAACTACCAATGCAGCAAGTCAACCGCTAGCATCGCTTCTCATGTATACATAACCGGATATCGTCTTTCAATTGTAAATTTAAAACCAGTTGCTGTCAGAATAATGAAAACAAAATATACATTTTTTTATTGGAAAAACATGTTCATACATGCATAATCAGTTAAAAGAAAATTATTTTACCATAATAAGATCAAATGCAAAAGAAGAATCAAGCACTTTTGTCTAACAACAGAACAACACTGAATCTCAGGGCACTATAGCACAAGTTTTCACTGCGACACAAGCTCACATGATGGTGCATGTGTACGGACGATTGTAAATTCTCCACGCTCATATAGGAAAAATAAATTCTAATTGCATTAAATTACAGAATTTTGTTTTACTTCGATGTTTATAATTTTCACTTTCGTATGCATAAACTATGTATGCACGCATATTTCACAGCATTAAATAGCGATTATCAAGATAAACGTACCCAAGCCACAAAACAATTAACGTGTCATCCACGCGTATGCATTAGACTAATACACACAACCTTTGGCATGCATTATTAAAATCAAGGTAAGCCATATATACACTTCGTATAATTATCGCGCTATTATCTGTTGATCACAGGAACACAGGTAACCAGAGCATGACCGACAGGTGGTTGTTATCAATACAGCATTCAGTTTACATAACGGACTTGATCATCAGAGCGGAAAATTATCCTGACTTCGAGATAACGCATGTGATTTTAATGAATGGGTACACAATTTTACTTTGAGATAACCCGGGCATTTGACATTACCGTGTTCGACATAGAGGGGTTTATTTTAATCATTTATAAAGCAAATTTCGTCGGGACCGCGGCCTTACTTTGACATATCCGGGGTATTCGAGATATCCGTGTTCGAGATTTCGAAGTTTAGCTGTACTTATTTATACTTAGACTGGCTTGCCTGTCTGATATGCGCGATTCGTATGATAGAGACAGGCAATACCAGTCTAATTTACACTGAGTAACGTGTTTTACCTTATGCCAAACCCGACTGAATAACGATCACGACTGAAATATGAACCGAACCGAGAATAAGAGATTTTGTACCATGTATCAAACTGAGAAAAAATACCACGGTGAGTCGATACCGCGGTGAACCATTTCACTCCTAGCATTGATATAAAATCTGCTTTAATTATATTGATGTGCTCCTATTCTTAATTTCATTTTCAAACCTTTGTCAGTAGTGTATTTGTGAAATACAGAATGGAGAGGGAGATTTAATTTCAAGTTTCTGTAAGTGTTTAGCTAAAACACAGAATAGAAGTAACGATTTGTTACATTTTTTTTTTTTTCAATAAAAGCTAGGTCTGACAAGAAAGTAGTTTTGATTGAGAATTTATCGATGTGTAAACTCTGTGCAGTCACTATTTTTTGGAATATCACGTACCCATGGTCAAGCAATGCTGACTGTTGCTACGCTGGAGGGCATGGCTTCATTATTCAGCGGGTATTAGTGTTTTTTAACAAATGTTTCTCGACAAATCAGATTCAACTAATTTACATGAAAGTATTATATATGACTTTATTGCATATCACATTATGGAATATCATATCATATTGTATCGAAATTTTTTGCTTCATTCACAGCCCTAGTCACTGATCAATTATAAAGCCCCCCTTTTTTTTAACTTTATGAGTACAAAGTCTCTATGCGTTGATGAGTTCAAAGTTGAATACTATCATAGCACAAAGGTGCAACTTCCTACACATGCTGAGAAAATAACTATTCTCTTTGGAGAAGTGGACAGGCTTTCGCCTACATCCACTTCTCTTCGCAAGCCTTCATGTTTTGATTCTGGAAAACGTGTAAATCTTGAACCGGTGACGGTCTACACTTCAACTGGCATTTCGTCTAAAATACGTCTGAATGTACGTAATAGACGTGTTATATTAAACAATTTTAACATAAATACAGACAAGTGTCACAAGAAAACTGACCTTTAAGTATTGTTAATCCATTTTCACAAGTTCTCCATCCCGGATTTAAACTAATGTTTATCTACCACAGCTTATTAGAAAAAATTGAAAATTTTAAGTCGGATAATTTGGAAAAATTGGCGAAGACGTATTTTAATGTTCAAAAAAAGTTTTTGACAATTCCCTTTTGATTTAGCATATTATTCAAAATTAATATTATTACCTATACTTATTTTTACTATTTTGATACAATTTAAATGTAAATTTAATCTTAAAAAATACTTCATTACTTCCTCACTGACAATACTAAAAAATATTTTCTTTTATTTTTAAACGATATTATCTCTACCTTTCCCGAGAAATGAAAATAAAGATCAAAAGAATTTGAACAAAACTTGAGGAAATACTGTCTCGTAAGTTTAAACAGAGTAGACGATTTCTCTCCTTTCATTATTATTTTGTAAAAATAGTTTCCATTTTTATCCGAATTAGAGATTTCTGAATACTTCAAGAGTTACTTGCACATAATTTAAATCCGGGATGGAGAACTTGTGAAAATGGATTAACAATACTTAAAGGTCAGTTTTCTTGTGACAATTGTGTGTATTTATGTTAAAATTGATAATATAACACGTCTATTACGTACATTCAGACGTATTTTAGACGAAATGTCAGTTGAAGTGTAGACCGTCACCGGTTCGAGATTTACACATTTTCCAGAATCAAAACATGAAGGCTTGCGAAGAGAAGTGGATGTAGGCGAAAGCCTGTCCACTTCTCTAAAGAGAATAAGAAAATAACACGTACATTTAAGAAAAACGTGATAAACAGCTGATAAAATACGAGA